ACTGAGTTTCAGGCTACAAACAAGGTTCTGGGTTAGACACAGGGTTCCAGGCTGCAAACTTGGTTCCAGGCAGCAAACTGGGTTCTGTTGAGCAAACTGTGTTTCAGGCTACAAACAAGGTTCTGGGTTAGACACTGGGTTCAAGGCTGCAAACTTGGTTCTAGGCAGCAAACTGGGTTTCAGGCTGCAAACGGGGTTCCTGTTTGCATCCTGTCATTGCTCCCTGTTGCTTGCAGAATCAGGTGGAAACCTCACAACTATTTTAGTTTTTGGCTGGGTCTGCACTGCGGAACCCACTTTATCTGCTGTGGCTCAATGTTGTTGTATGTTAAGGAATCCTGAGAGTTGTAGTTTGCTAAAGGCCTTGGAAAACTCCCAGGAGTCCATAGCTCTGAGCCATGGCAATCAAGGCAGAGTCAAAACTGCATTAATTCTACAGTGTAGAGGCCCCCTTGGTGGGGGTGAGTGGGAGGGAAGGAAGGAAGGAAGGGGATGCAGCCCACTCTTTTCCTTCCCATCCTTTCACTGGAGGGATTAGCCTGGGATTTTCATGCTTCTTGGAGAAGCGTTTCCATAACAACGGTCCCTTCCTGCTTCCATGGTTGGTGCCTCCGATGGGGGAGAGGAGGGGGCTGCAAGCCCACCCGGAGACAGGCAAGAAGAGAGTGCAGGGGTGGCGGGGGAATCAAGGGATGCGCACCCTCTCCCACCTTTGCCCTGGCATGACCTTCCTCGGGCAGAACTGCCACAGGGTTTGGTTGCCTTGCGCAAAATGCCTCCAGAGGAAGCCTGCCATTCGTTGTCTTGCTCTGAGACTGAGAGAGTGCAACTCACCCAGTGGGTTTCCATCACCAAAAGGAAATTGGAACCCAGGCTTTCAGTGTCAGAGGATGAATGCAGTTTGGCACCGCTTGAACTGCTGCAACTCAATGCTGTGGAATCCTGGGATGATGCATATTTGGTGAAGCGCCAGCCCTTGCAAAACTACAACTCCTGGGATTCTATAGCATGGAGCTATGGCAGTTCAAATGGTGTCTGACTGTATTCATTCTACAGTGCAGATGCACTCCTGGAACTTGTCTACCTGCCTTCCTTCTCCTCCTCTCTCCTGCCTTCCTTCCTTCTTTTCTTCTTCTCTTTCATTCCTTCTTCTCTCCTTTCTTCCTTCTCTTCATCTCTCCTTGGTACTTTCTTCTTCTCTCTCCTTCCTTCCTCTTTTCTTCCTTCGTTCATTCCTTCCTTCTTCCTTTGTTCTTTTCTATTTCCTTCCTTCTTTTCCTCTCTCCTTCCTTCTTTCCTTCTCTTCCCCCTCTCTCATTCTTTCTTTTCTTCTTCTTCTTTCCTTCCTTCTCTTTTTCCCTCCCTCCCTCCCTCCCTTCCTTCCTTCCTTCCTTCTTTCCTGCCTTCTTTCTTTCCTTCTTCCATTCGTCTTCTTCTTTCCTTCCTTCTCTTCCTCTCCTTCTTTCTCTTCCTTTCCCTCTCATTCCTTCCATCCTTCTTCTTTCTTTCCTTCCTTCTCGTTCTCTCTCTCTAATTCCTTCCTTCCTTTTTCTTTCTTTCCTTCTTTCGTTCTCTTTCTCTCTCTCATTCCTTCCTTCTTTCCTTCTCTCTCTCTCATTTCTTCCTTCTTCTTTCCTTCCTTCTTTCCTTCCTTCTTTCCTTCCTTCTTTCCTTCCTTCCTTCCTTCCCTCTCTCTCTCCTTCCTTCCTTCTTTCCTTCCTTCTCTCTCTCTCATTTCTTCTTCCTTCTTCTTTCCTTCCTTCTCCCTCTCTCATTTCTTCCTTCCTTCTTCTTTCCTCCCTTTTTCTTTCCTTCCTCCTTTCTCTCTCTCTCACATTCCTTCCTTCCTTCCTTCCTTCCTTCCTTCCTTCCTTCCTTCCTTCCTTCCTTCCTTCCTTCCTTCTTCTGTACTTCCTTTCTCTTTCCTTCTTTCCTTGCTTCTTTCCTTCCTTCTTTTTCCTTCCTTCTCTCGCTCTTATGTCTTCTTCCTCCTTTTTTCCTTCCTTCTTCTTTCCTTCCTCCTTTCTCTCTCTCTGTCTCTCTCCCCTTCCTTCCTTCATCTTTCCTTCCTTCCTTCCTTCCTTCCTTCCTTCCTTCCTTCCTTCCTTCCTTCCTTCCTTCCTTCCTTCTTGTCTCTCACACTCCTTCTGTTTCTCTCTCCTCCTCAGGGCCCCGCAGGACATCAGCCTGGAGGAATTCGATGACGAGGATCTCTCCGAAATCACCGACGACTGCGGCATCGGCCTGAACTATGACTCGGACCACTACGAAAAGGTGAGTGGGCACAGTGGGCCACCGGGCTCCCGACTGGGTCTGCATCTACACTGCAGAACGAAGGCAGCTTGGTCCCACTTGGATGCTACACGGTCCTGGGAGTTGTAGTTTGCAAAACTACTTCTCTTTTTGGCAGAGAAGGCAAAAGACCTTGCAAAACTACAGAGCATTGAACCGGGGGAGTTCAAGAGGGGCCAGGCTGCCTTCCTTGGCCTCGCCTTGCCTTTCCCATGGCATATTCCAGCGCTTTCCAATCACGTAGCTTTGCGTTTTGCTTACTAGCAGGATATCAATCCTGGCGGTTGGCAGAGGATGCTCACAGAGTGCAAGGCAATAAAAGAAGAAGCAGGCTCCGTCAAATCATATTGATTGATCCATCGATTCTGGCTTGGTCGTTTCGGTTCGCTATTGTTCTGGCACGTATTGCTGACATATTCCATCTCACCCAGGCCTGGGCCAACTTTGGCCCTCCCTCCAGGTGTTTTGGACTCCAACTCCCACCATTCCTAACAGCCTCAGCCTTTGGACTCCAACTCCCACCATTCCTAACAGTCTCAGACTTTGGACTCCAACTCTCACCATTCCTAACAGTCTCAGACTTTGCACTCCAACTCCCACCATTCCTAACAGCCTCGGCCTTTGGACTCCAACTCCCACCATTCCCAACAGCCTCAGCCTTTGGACTCCCAACTCCCACCATTCCCAACAGCCTCAGCCTTTGGAATCCCAACTCCCACCATTCCTAACAGTCTCAGCCTTTGCACTCCAACTCTCACCATTCCTAACAGCCTCAGCCTTTGGACTCCCAACTCCCACCATTCCCAACAGCCTCAGCCTTTGGAATCCCAACTCCCACCATTCCTAACAGTCTCAGCCTTTGCACTCCAACTCCCACCATTCCTAACAGCCTCAGCCTTTGGACTCCAACTCCCACCATTCCTAATAGCCACAGCCTTTGCACTCCAACTCCCACCATTCCTAACAGCCTCAGCCTTTGGACTCCAACTCCCACCATTCCTAACAGCCTCAGCCTTTGGACTCCCAACTCCCACCATTCCTAACAGTCTCAGCCTTTGCACTCCAACTCCCACCATTCCTAACAGCCTCAGCCTTTGGACTCCAACTCCCACCATTCCTAATAGCCTCAGCCTTTGGACTCCAACTCCCACCATTCCTAACAGCCTCAGCCTTTGCACTCCAACTCCCACCATTCCTAACAGCCTCAGCCTTTGGACTCCAACTCCCACCATTCCTAACAGCCTCAGCCTTTGCACTCCAACTCCCACCATTCCTAACAGCCTCAGCCTTTGGATCCCAACTCCCACCATTCCTAATAGCCTCAGCCTTTGGACTCCAACTCCCACCATTCCTAACATCCTCAGCCTTTGCACTCCAACTCCCACCATTCCTAACAGCCTCAGCCTTTGGATCCCAACTCCCACCATTCCTAATAGCCTTAGCCTTTGGACTCCAACTCCCACCATTCCTAACAGTCTCAGCCTTTGCACTCCAACTCCCACCATTCCTAACAGCCTCAGCCTTTGGATCCCAACTCCCACCATTCCTAACAGCCTCAGCCTTTGGACTCCAACTCCCACCATTCCTAACAGCCTCAGCCTTTGGACTCCAACTCCCACCATTCCTAACAGCCTCAGGCCCCTTCCTTTATATAATAAATAAATAAATAACTTGGGAAGTGCCTGACGTGTGATCCAATACAACAGCCAGCAGAGTGTCTGCTGTGGACTCATCTTGTGGTGTTTCAAATAATAATAAGAATTCCCATAATTGGAAATGTCAGGAGCAACTTCACCTACTTAGGAAGATGTAACTTTCATGTTCTTTAGCTTTCTTTGCTCAGAAGCCTCACAAAGTTGCAAATCCCAGAGTTCGATAGCATTGAGCCATGCCAGTTAAAGTGGTCTGAAACTGCATTCATTTTGCAGCGTAGACGCATCCTGAATCGATAGCAAAGCAACTCCTGATGTTCCTCAGCAGAAGGATGGGTAATGGAGTGCTATTGTCTCCACTCAGCCGCATCCGTCTAATGGAGAGCTGGCATTGTTGGCTGCAAACACGCGCGCATACATTATTATTTAATCTAAATTTATCTGTGCCCAGCTTTATTTTCCATACTGAATGAACATCCTGTGCCCATCATCTATCCATCCATCCATCTATCCATCTATCTATCTATCTATCTATCTATCTATCTATCTATCTATCTATCTATCTATCTATCTATCATGTTCTTGTGCTAGTTTGTGAAGGTTAAACCTTTCCAATTTTGGACTTGATTTGGAGGCATAATGAACTGAAAGCAATTTATTCAGTGACACATTTGGGGAAATCTACCCAGCAACAGCTGACAATCTACAGTATAGCAAATCACAAGGGTGCACCAGACATAATTTGGCCAATTGGAAAGCAGCAGTCATTAAGCCTTAAACCCTCATCCAGTGAATTTTCCATTGCATTTCCAATTATAGGTAGAAAGCGCCAGTTAGTCAATGGGCTGGAAATAATGTTGTTGCACCTCAGCGAGGGTTCACCTTGCTCGAGCACTCACCAGGAAGTCAAACGTAGGAGTAAACAGTCTATTGAAAAAGCACACACAATAAAAGAGTAAAAAATCCAAATGTGTAAGATAAACAGCCCCAAAAGCCAGAGAGAAATCTCCAATGCAAAGGTTAAAACATGAACAAGGTGCAAGGTATCATCATGAGTGTCGCAACTCAGGATAGATTCACCTTGCTCAAGACACCACCACACACCAAGGCTGTAGGTTTTGTAGTTTATTGAGAAAAAGCAAAATCAAAACAGAGAAATAAAGATGCAAAAGTTCAATAGGCAAAACAGAGTCTTAAATGCAAAGGCAAAGTTCCCAAGATCCAAAGGCAAAAAACATGAAGCATAGTCCTTCAGCATTGGTTAAACAAGGATCCATGACAGCACGACAAAGTCTCCAAAAATCAGGATCAAAACCAAAGTCCCAAAGAGCCAGAAGCTTTCCCCAAAAGCCAAGGTATTTCCACAGAAGTTAACAGGGTATAAGCAACATTGCACTGACAAAGAATGCCCTTCGACCAGATCATTAAATATGTTCTCCTAACATGAAAGCATTACGTTGACCTCTAGCTTCACGTTTGTTGGCAAGGTGTGCACTTCTGCGAACTCTTAATTGCAAACGGTCCTGTCTAATCAAATCTCCACTATCTTCAAGGCCAGTTAGCTCATTATCCTGGGCCTGCTGGGCCTGGTCACCCTGGGAACCAAGAGGCCCTGAGCTCTCAGAAGGAGCCTCCACCTGCAGCTGTGAAGTTTCACTATCTTTATCTAAAGCCACATTCCTTTCTCTGGGGAACAGAAATGCCGTCTCTTCTTCCGAATCAACACTATCTGCCTCAATAACCGGATCATGTTCAGAAATCTGTAACCCATCATCCTCCTCGTTCTGAGGAAACTCAGGCTCAGACTGAGCCACAACAATGAACTTGATTAATCCAAACGACAAGGAACAAAACATCAACTTGAGTAATCCTAGAATCAAATAACAATACATGAGCTTGAATCATAGAATGATATTCAAGTTGGAAGAGACCTTGTGGGCCATCCAGACCAACCCCATTCTGTCAAGAAGCAGGACAACCGCATTCAAAACACCCCCGACAGATGGCCATCCAGCTTCTGTTTAAAAGCTTCCAAAGAAGGAGCCTCTACCACATTCTGGGGCAGAGAGTTCCACTGCTGAACAGCTCTCACAGTCAGGAAGTTCTTCCTCATGTTCAGATGGAATCTCCTTTCTTGTAGTTTGAGGCCATTGTTCCACGTCCTAGTCTCCAGGGAAGCAGAAAACAAGCTTGCTCCCTCCTCCCTGTGACTTCCCTTCACATATTTATACACTATCATGTCTCCTCTCAGCCTTCTCTTCTTCAGGCTAAACATGCCCAGCTCTTAAGCCGCTCCTCATAGGGCTTGTTCTCCAGACCCTTGATCATTTTAGTTTGCCCTCCTCTGGACACATTCCAGCTTAGAGTCAACCTCTCCCTTCAATTGTGGTGCCCAGAATTGGACACAGTATTCAAGATGTGGTCCATAGTAAAATCCCCAGGACTTAAAGCAAAACTTGACCAGGACATGGCTTGAAGTGAGGAATAAGGCAGGCGGCTCTTGCTCTATCTGCTACGTTGCTTGATCTGAGAATTGAAAGCTATTCTTTCCCTAATTAAGGACAGCAATGCATGAAAGCATTCCTTTGACTTTGAGTAGTCTCTCTTGGTCTCACTTTCCCATAGTCTGCCTTGCACCTGGAATTCTTCCCCTGCAGAAGCAGCCTTGATTCTCTGTCCAACCTTCCTTCCTCCCTTCTCTGCCTGTCAGCTTCTAAAACAGTTTCACACAGAGAATCACCCAAATTCCCCTCTGTTCTCCCAACCGGGGAATCACCATCCTATATAACGTCCCCTCTGTCTGAGCATCTCCTGAACTATGAAACGTGTTGTTGTTGCTTTTATTATTCTTATCAATAATAATATTAACAACAGTAATATGAAACTATATAATTCTAAAACATAATAAGGAATAAGAAGTGCCCCCCCCCCAATTTAATCATTGTGTACAGTAATGAGATATTTATTGACTAATTGTGTTCCCCTGGTGATTCTGAGAACAGAAGAGAGTGGTTCAAAAGGAAAAGGGCATGTTAAATAATTAATTAGCAGTGGCTAATGAGGCCCATCTCCTAGTGCTTAATGCCTACACTGTAGAATTAATGCAGTTTGGCACCACTTTGTGTTTTAAGTGGATTCATGTTTTAATTTATTGTTATGTCGCCGTTGTTCATTAATGCTTGGAGCATGGGCCGCTCTCATGCAGACGGGCACATGAATGCAATATAAAAGTGGCACAATATAAACAAAACAGTCTAGATCAGACCTGGGCAAACTTTGGCCCTCCAGGTGTTTTGGATTCCAACTCCCACCATGCCCAACAGCCTCAGGCCCTTTCCTTTTCCTTTTCCCTTTCCTTTTCTGCTTAAGCACCATGTTTTTATGATAGAACAAATAGGAAATGACATTTATATCCCAGGAACCAAAATTATGTCACATAGTGTAATAGTAGTAATAGTAGTAGTAGTAAAACTCCAGCTCCCATGGTATTAAGCCATGGTAGTGAAAGTGTTGCCAAACAGCTTGAATTACACAATGTGGATGCACCCCCAAGGGAGTTGCGAAGTGTGCATGCTTTTTATGGTTGCAATGGCTGCAATGTTCCTGGATTAGTATCTGGAATGTTCATGCACCACTGGTTGCAATATTCCTGGATTAGAAGCTCCAATGTTCCTGTTTTGGTGGTTGCAATGTTCCTGCAACAGTGGTTGCAATGTTCCTGTTTTGGTGGTTGCAATGTTCCTGCATCGGTGGTTGCAATGTCCCTACATCAGTGCTTGCAATGTTCCTGCACTGGTGGTCGCAATATTCCTGAATCAGTGCTTGCAATGTTCCTGTATAAGTGGTTGCAATGTTCCTGCATTGGTGGTTGCAGTATTCCTGCATCGGTGATTGCAATGTTCCTGAACGAGTGCTTGCAATGTTCCAACATCGGTGATTGCAATGTTCCTGCATCGGTGGTTGCAATATTCCTAAATCAGTGCTTGCAATGTTCCAACATCGGTGCTTGCAATGTTCCTATATCAGTAGTTGCAATGTTCCTGAATCAGTACTTGCGATGTTCTTACATCAGTGGTTGCAATGTCCCTGCATCAGTGGTTGCAATGGCCCTGCATCAATGGTTGCAATGTTCCTACATCAGTGGTTACAATGTTCCTACATCAGTGGTTGCAATGGTCCTACATCAGTGGTTGCAATGGTCCTACATCGGTGGTTGCAATGTTCCTACATCAGTGGTTGCAATGTCCCTGAATCAGTGGTTGCAATGTTCCTGCATCAGTGGTTGCAATGTTCCTGCATCAGTGGTTGCAATGTTCTTGAATCGGTGGTTGCAATGTTCCTGCATCTATGGTTGCAGTGTTCCTGCATCAGTGGTTGCATAGTTCTTGCATCAGTGGTTGCAGTGTTTCTGATCAGTTGTTGCAATTCTCCTGCATCAGTGGTAGCAATGTTCTGCATCAGTGCTTGCAATGTTCCTGAATCGGTAGTTGCAATGTCCCTGCATCAGTGGTTGCCATGTTCCTGCATTTGTGGTTGCAATTTACTTGCATCGGTGGTTGCAATTTTCCTCTATTGGTGCTTGCAGTGTTCCTGAATCGATGATTGCAATGTTCCTACATCAGTGGTTGCAATGTCCCTTCATCAGTGATTGCAATGTCCCTGCATCGGTGGTTGCAATTTTCCTACATCAGTGGTTGCAATGTCCCTGCATCGTTTGCAATGTTCCTTTATCCGTAGTTGCAATAGTCCTGCATAAGTGGTTGCAATGTCCCTGCATCGGTGGTTGCAATGTTCCTGTTGCATTCTGTCTGCCTTTTCTGTGGCTTCAGTGCAGGCAGCGAAATGCTTATCGGAAACTGGAAGGGATTGCTTCATTGCTGTGTGTTGTCAGGGATGGGATGCCTCATAGACAGATAGTAGTACAGTCTGCCAGAAATGTACAATGCAGCAATGGGATGCCATTTGTCAGAAAGAATTCCCCAGGCGGAAAGGGAGGTTCTGGGAACTGAGATTGGTCATCCAAAAAGTGTTGCCTGTAATCTATCTATACCAGGCATGGGCCAACTTTGGCCTTCCTCCAGGTGTTTTGGACTCCAACTCCCACAATTCCTAACAGCCTACCGGCTGCTGTTAGGAATTGTGGGAGTTGGAGTCCAAAACACCTGGAGGAAGGCCAAAGTTGGCCCATGCCTGGTATAGATAGATTACAGGCAACAGTTGTCCTTTTGCAAAGTCTTGAGCCTTTCCCTGGGGTCCCCATGGCATTGAGGTAAGTGGGGCTGAAATGCATTGGTTGTGCAATGCGGATGAGCCATAGGTTGCACACAGGATTGTGGGTCCCATCATCCACAGCTGTGGTCTGCTTGCCTTGCAGGACTGCCTGGTGCTGGAGAGGTGCGAGCAGCCCCACCCCACCTGCACCTTCCAGGATGACTTCCAGGAGTTCGAGATGATCGATGACAACGAGGAAGAGGAAGAGGAAGAGGAGGAGGAAGAGGAGGAGGAAAACGAGCTGGAGGAAGCCCCGCCCTCCCCGACCCCTTCCCCGATCCCCGAGGAGACCCAGAAGCACCGCCCCACCACCCTCAACCTGACCGTCACTGGAACACAGGTGAGTCCCACTAACAACAACAACAACAACAACAACAACAACAACAACAACAAGGGATCCCTCTCCTCCCAGCTTCAGGTGTCAAGTTCCCTTCACCCTTACACAGTTCTTTACTGGAGGTTTTGAAGCAGAGGCTGGATGCCCATCTGTCGGGAGAGATCGGATTGTGCCTTTCTGACGTTCAGCAGAGCGGTCAGCCGGATGGCCTTTTGGGATCTCTTCCAACGCTAGGATTCTATTATTATTATTATTATTTTGTTTTATTATTATTATGCAGAGGCTGGATGGCCATCTATCCAGAGAGATCACATTGTGTCTTTCTGATGTCCAGAAGAGAGGTCAGCTGGATGGCCTTTTGGGATCTCTTCCAATGCTAGGATATTATTATTATTATTATTATTATTAATTCAGAAGCTGGATGGCCATCTATCTGGAGAGATCAAATTGTGTCTCCTGATGTCCAGAAGAGAGGTTGAGTGGATGGCCTTTGGGGATCGCTTCCAGCTCTAGGCTTCTATTATTATTATCATTATCATTATCACATTATAATATTATTATTAAGCACAGGCTGGATGCCCATCTGTTGGGGGTATTGGATTGTGTCTTTCCGACGTCCAGAAGTGAGGTCACTGGGATGGCTTTTTGGGATCTCTTCGAACTCTAGGATTCTATTATTATTATTATTACATCATAATGAAGCAGAGGCTGGATGGCCATCTGTCAGGAGGGATCAGATTGTGCCTTTAGGACATCCAGAAGAGAGGTCAGTGGGATGGCCTTTTGAGATCTCTTCCAACTCTAGGATTCTATTATTATTATTATTATTATTATTATTATTATTACTATTATTATTATTAAAGCAGAGGCTGGATGGCCATCTGTCGGGAGAGATCAAATTGTGTCTTTCTGACGTCTAGAAGTGAGGTCAACGGGATGGCCTTTTGGGAATCTCTTCCAACTCTAGGATTCTTCTTCTTATTATTATTATTATTACATTATAATATTATTATTAAGCAGAGGCTGGATGGCCATCTGTTGGGAGAGATCAAATTGTGTCTTTCTGATGTCCAGGTCGGCTGGATGGCCTTTTGGGATCTCTTCCAATTCTAGGATTCTATTATCATTATTATCACATTAGAATATTATTATTAAGCAGGCTGAATGGCCATCTGTTGGGAGAGATCAAATTGTGTCTTTCTGAAGTCCAGAAGAGAGGTCAATGGGATGGCCTTTAGAGATCTCTTCCAACTCTAGGATTATATTATTATTATTATTATTATTATGTTTTATTATTATTATGCAGATGCTGGATGGCCATCTGTCAAGAGAGATCAAATTATGCCTTTCTGACATCCAGAAGTGAGATTGGTTGGATGGCCTTTTGGGATCTCTTCCAACTCTAGGATTCTATTATTATTATTATTATTATTATTAAGCAGAGGCTGGATGACCATCTGTCAGGAGGGATCAGATTGTGCCTTTATGACATCCAGAAGAGACATCAGCGGGATGGCCTTTTGGTTTCTCTTCTAACTCTAAGATTCTATTATTATTATTATTATTATTATTATTATTATTATTATTATATTGTGATATTATTATTATTATTATTATTAAGCAGATTCTGGTTGGCCATCAGCACCTTCACATAATTATAATATTATAATGTAATGCAATATAATACTAATAATAATAATAATAATATGATATTATAATTATATATTTATATTACATGTAATATTACTAATAATATTACAATATAATGGTATAGTACAATATAGTAATATTTAATACTGATATTGTACTATTCTAATAACATAATATTTTGTATGTATATATATCTTTTAAGCTGCTCTGAGTCCCCTTCGGGGTGAGAAGGGTGGAATATAAATGTAAATAATATAATATAACTAGCCGTCCCCTGCCACGCGTTGCTGTGGCCCAAATGAGGTTTGGCCCAACTCTATCGTTGGTGGGGTTCAGAATGCTCTGCGATTGTAGGTAAACTATAAATCCCAGCAACGACAACTCCCAAATGTCCAGATTCTATTTCCCCCAAACTCCACCAGTGTTAACATTTGGGCATATTGAGTATTTGTGTTGAGTTTGGTCCAGATCCATCATTGTTTGAGTCCACAGTGATCTCTGGATGTAGGTGAACTACAACTCCAATACCAAAGGACAATGCCCATCCAACCCTCCCAGTATTTTCTGTTGGTCATGGGAGGCTTGTGTGCCAAGTTTGGTTAAATTCCATCATTGGTGGGGTTCAGTGTGCTCTTTGATTGTAGGTGAACTATAAATCCCAGCCACTACAACTCCCAAACGCCAAGGTCTATTTCCCCCAAACTCCATCTGTGTTCATATTTGGGCATATGGAATATTCGTGCCAAGTTTGGTCCAGATCCATCATTGTTTGAGTCCACAGTGCTCTCTGGATGTAGGTGAACTACAACTCCCAAACTCAAGGTCAATGCCCACCAAACACTGCTAGTATTTTCTGTTGGTCATGGGATTTGTGTGTGTCAAGTTTGGTTCAATTCCATCGTTGGTGGAGTTCAGAATGCTCTTTGATTATAGGCGAATTATAAATCCCAGCAACTACAACTCCCAAATGACAAAATCATAATGTTTTGAGTGATGGTCACTCCTTGTGTAGTGAGATGTTTTGTTGCCAAGTTTGGTGTGATTTCGTTCACTGGTTCTTTGTTTTTAAGGTACTCATGATGCACAGAGCATAGATATAATAATGTAATCCTGATACTAATACTGTTAATAGGTAGACGAGCATGTCTCAATGTGCCCTGGGTTTTGCTCTGAGCTTTAAAGGATCTCCCCAAGGCAACGAACCGTGTTTTGGCAAGATTGGGTTCGACTGCTTCAAAGTTTGGACTAAAACCCAGAACGGGTTCAGCACCAGACTGCCTGGGAAAGGAAGCAAAGAGGGCGGGAATCTGGGGATGATGGGAAGTGCACCAGGCAGCACTTAACAAGGGGGAAGAAAGAGCTCCAGCAGCCTTTGAGCATTATAAATAAGCCATGCTCCAAAGTGCGTCTTAAGAGCCGCAGCCCCAAAAAGCAAGGGATGCATTATGCAAATGGAGGGATGCGTTGATGTGTTTCGTGCGACAGCGGAAGAGCTGCCTCTGCCGTGTATTTGCTGTCGTCCAGCGTTTCCTTTTTGCTGCTGAGTTCACATCATGAAACCCTAGAGTTGGAAGGGGTCCCCAGAGGCAATCTAGTCTGACCCCCAAGAATCCACAATCCAATCCCTTCTGACAGATGGCCACCCAAAAGCTCAGGAGAAGGCAGGAGACTTCCAGACATACCAGCCTAATCATCTGCAGAGCTTTCCAAACATTAGTGTGTTGATGTATTGTCGAAGGCTTTCATGGCCAGAATCACTGGGTTGTTGTAGGTTTTTTCGGGCTATATGTCAGAAGGGATTGGATTGTGGATTCTTGGGGGTCAGACTAGATTGCCTCTGGGGACCCCTTCCAACTCTAGGGTTTCATGATGTGAACTCAGCAGCAAAAAGGAAACGCTGGACGACAGCAAATACACGGCAGAGGCAGCTCTTCCGCTGTTCTAAAGGCATTCTCTCCTGACGTTTCGCCTGCATCTGTGGCAAGCATCCTCAGAGGTAGTGAGGTCTGTTGGAACTAGGAAAAAGGGTTTATATATCTGTGGAATGACCAGGGTGGGACAAAGGACTCTTGTCTGTTGGAGCTAGGTGTGAATGTTTCAACTGATCACCTTGATTAGCATTTGATTGCCTGGCAGTGCCTGGAGCAAACTTTTGTTGAGAGGGGATTAGAACAAAATCTGGCTGCCAGTATTAAAAAGCTCTAAAATTAGAACAAAATCTGGCTACCAGTATTAAAAAAAACTCTAAAATTAGAACAGCACAACAACAGAGAGGAAACAAACAAGGACATATAATCACCTCTCAACAAAAGATTGCTCCAGGCACTGCCAGGCAATCAAATGCTAATCAAGGTGGTCAGTTGAAACATTCACACCTAGCTCCAGCAGACAAGAGTCCTTTGTCCCACCCTGGTCATTCCACAGATATATAAACCCTTTCCTAGTTCCAGCAGACCTCACTACCTCTGAGGATGCTTGCCATAGATGCAGGCGAAACGTCAGGAGAGAATGCCTCTAGAACATGGCCATACAGCCCGAGAAAACCTACAACAACCCATTAGTGTGTTGGCTGTAGTGCGTGGGCGTGCTGCACAAATGCAACGAGAAACCGTCTATGTGAGACGACCAAGAAATCTCACATTTTCAAATATATATACATGAAAGATTTTCATGAGATATGTGGTGCCTCCACACATTTAGGCCTGTGTCTCTTATAAGGGTTTGGCTTAACGTCCCGTTTGCCAGTGAAACTGAATTACTGTGCTGTGAAATGATGTGCATCGACAAATGGTGTGTTGGGTTGTTGTAGGTTTTTCCGGGCTATATGGCCATGTTCTAGAGGCATTCTCTCCTGACGTTTCACCTGCATCTGTGGCAAGCATCCTCAGAGGTAGTGAGGTAGCATTTCTGTGTTCTCAAATAATAATATGCTGTGTCCAGGTTGGTTCCTCAGGTGCTCTGCTATGGCTGACTTCTCTGGTTGAAAGAGTCTGCAGTGCCTTTCATGTTCCTTGATTCGTGGTTGGGCAATGCTGCTGCATTTGGTGGTCCCTCTGGAGACTTGTCCACGGCTGCATGAGTAAGAGTTCATGGGTGAAAGCAATTAAGAGTGGGGGTATGCTATCTTGTTTCCACGCTCTCAGGCATTGCTGTGGGAAACTGCACTTCTTCTTCACTGTCTATAGCAGGGAAACAATGAGATAGGATTGTTGCTGTTGTTGTGTGCTTTCAGGTAGTTTCAGACTTAGGTTGATCCTGAGCAAGGGCCGGGTAAATGACCTTGGAGGGCTGTATCCGGCCCTCGGGCCTTAGTTTGAGGACCCCTGGTCTATACCATAGTCAGAAGGCACTCC